AAATTATAATTTACCAAAATAGAAACATATTTTAGCTTTAAATATTTTTCTCTCAAAACTAGAAAGATTTTTGAGTGTGGAGCCTTTGAAAAGCAGATACAATGTGTTCAGATAAGAAGTGGTTTGAGAGGAGGGGAATGTTGGTGAACACAAACTAGAAAGGACCTGGAGGACAGCAGGTGACTTCAGACCACAGCTTCCTCACCTGTGACAGCATCAGGGTGAGAAAAAATTAGACAGGAAGATCCTCTGACCACAGACAGATCTGAGAGTTTCTTCTCAGGCTGAGTGGCTCTTGGATCCTGGGTGGCCATTAGAAGGATGCTAGTTCCTACCGAATGACCTTGCAGTAGTCACTCCAGAGTCCAGCATTACCAGTGGCCAGTCCAAAAAGTGACTGTCAAGCAGTGGTTGTTCCCCTGTAGTATTCCCTGGAAGTTGTGTGGAGAGCGCTTTGTTGTCGACTACCCCTGGCCTTTAGTGATTCATTCATCCTTAAGACAGGGGATGTTTCTTGTTCTCTTTGGCTGCTACTCCACCTGAACCGCAAATGAATTCAAAACTGAGGTTTGAATCAGGGGTTCGAAGTCCTTGCAATCTACAATCCCTAAAGCCACTTAGACAGTCCCTCTTCTCTGATTCGCATGGGCAGGATGTCCTCAGGCCTGCAGTATCCTCTTACACCACTCTATCCCCTTTTGTGCCCAATTTTTGCTGATCACATAACTGGGATAGTTTTAGAATCCCATATATATTTCTAATGTCTCATGATAACTGCAAAAATAAAAAAGGAAAAATATTATGAATGACATAATAAATAAGTGATTGTTCTATGTCCCCTATTGGTGGTTGTTTTAACTTCTGCATTTTTTTTCATATGGGATAGAAAATATAACCCTGATTATCTCTGAATGTACTAAATTATTTCCACTTTTTATACCATGGTGACAAAATGATAAATATGCATCCACATCCCAACTGTTGCTCATACCAGATAGTCTACCTAGCCTTTGTTAGTCTCAGCAGAGGTGTTGCCTCCACCTACCTTACACTCTGGTCCATCTATCCTCTCTCACCTGAGGTTCAGTGGGCCCAGGTGTCCCACTTAAAAAAATATTTGCCTTTATATTACATCTGCAGTCTTAATAGCTACCCAGAAATGTTCTCTTTTGGCTCTTTCCTCCCCTATTCTCTTCTAGAATGTCACCCTAAACACCAACCAGAGCCTATACTCTAATATGAGACATAATAATGGCACAGACATGATTATACCTATTCAGGTAATTGAGGAAATCACCTGAAAGACCAAAACCTTGTTTCTACTGAACCCTGAGCCCTGCCCACCTTTGCACCCAGAGTTCCTCTTCTTTGTTCTCTTATTTTCTCTTCCTGTTGCTTTAGAAAGTGTGCACATTTCTAATGCATTATTTTCTCCCCTATGAACATCTGATTCACCCTTAGTGAACTCCTTTCCATCTGAGAATCCAGAGAAAATGCCTCTTCTTCAGAGACCTTCATATGAACTCACCTTTTCTATTTCTTCTCCAGACATTTTTTTCTCAGATTCAGAGTCGTTTGAAGGCTCTTCTAAGTCACATTTTCATGTTTGTCCAGCACCCACAGACAGTACACCTGACAGTAGTACTTGACCTCATCCTCAGACTGCAGCCCAGAAATGTTCAAAAATGCCCATTTTTGAAGTATCTTTGGATCTAGAATATCTACTGGGGACTCCTGGCCCCAGATGCTTGGTTCAGTGGGCCCAGGTATCCCACCTGAAAGGCATGTGCCTTCATATTTCATCTG